TTACGCACAAGCAGTCTCACTGAAATCAATGGAACGACTCACCTGACTAGCATTTGCAGGATCAGGCCCATTGTGAATGAGTAAAACACCACTGTTATTTTTGAACCTCTGCTAAGTGGAAACCACATGTCCCGCACTGAGAAATGCTGATTCTAAGAACACAAATCCTGTCAGGAAAGTGGAAGTCAATGAAGGGCATCTCCTGCACAAGCAGTCTCACTGAAATCAATGGAACGACTCACCTGACTAGCATTTGCAGGATCAGGCCCATTGTGAATGAGTAAAACACCACTGTTATTTTTGAACCTCTGCTAAGTGGAAACCACATGTCCCGCACTGAGAAATGCTGATTCTAAGAACACAAATCCTGTCAGGAAAGTGGAAGTCAATGAAGGGCATCTCCTGGATTGTATTTACTGTGTTTCCAAAGCTACATAGGCTCTTGTAATGTCTGTCCCTCTGAAGACCTAAGATCATGTGAACATTTTTCCTTTCAGCCAATTGCATTTCCAACTGAAGGCTGCGCTATGGTTTTCCTGCCCTGCTGGTAGTGCAAATGTGCCAATCTCATTCTCAAGGCAAGGTTCCTGTCGTGGGATCAAATGTTAGGATTTTAAAAGCTAAAGTTTGATATGGATGAACAACTGCCTATAAAACGCATTAAGCTCTTACCCTGTAATGTATTTAATTTCACACTGACTGATGGTATTGCCCCTGAATGGATTACGGCGGGGGGGGGCCATTGTCCCACTAAACCACACTGGTTAAATAATACTTTGGAGTCTAAAGCTGCTCGAGGAGCATTTCATATTGGCTAGCACGTGAAATGAATACCTAGCTGTTCTGCAAGTGCTTTGGTTTGGTTAAAAATAAATACATTCTGAATTGGTTTACAGTGCAGCAGAATTCACACAGCTCTTTGGTTTGTGCTTTTGCCCCTATAAAAATTTCCACTGGCCCCTCCTCACTCTTGACAGAACATAATTGCCCTGATTCTGTGAGGTGCTGAGTGCCTCCATTCACTTCAGTGCTATCGAAAGTCTCTTTGAACCCTTTAGAAAGTGCTTAGCACGCCCACAACTCCCAGAATTGGGCCCATTGGGCTTACTCTTTGCTGGGTTTGGTGCTTGGCATATATGTGCTTCATATCAAAGAGATTCATACAATGTGCAAGGGTTGGGTCTTTGAGTTTTGTGTAGTGTTTAGTTATGAGGTTCCTTGTCTCATTCATGGGGCTTTTTTTTAACTTTCAGCTTGAAGACATTTTATACAGCGACATCATAAGTGCACACCCAGAATCTGCTTCTTCTGCCTGTTACACTTGGGTAAGTCAGAAGCTACTTTACACCAGCGGAATGACACCCATGTGAGGAGAATCAAGCTCTCCTGTGCTCTAACTCTGTGATCAGTGTGACAGTCACTCCTGAACTAGCAGTTAGCATGTTTTCAACCCTAAGACCTCTGTATTTCTGGGACCATTTACAACTAACCATACAAGTGTTTGGATTCCACCTGGGGAACAAGATAATTCAAAATTAAGAATGATTTCTTAAGTCCTGAGTGCGCACAGAATACCACTCCATTTGGAAGGAGTCATTTTTAAGTATATGGTTTATGTAGTAAAATTACTCATGATCACCCTTGGATGCTTGCTAGAAGTTTTGTCACCTGTTATGTGCTTACAACTAACCATACAAGTGTTTGGATTCCACCTGGGGAACAAGATAATTCAAAATTAAGAATGATTTCTTAAGTCCTGAGTGCGCACAGAATACCACTCCATTTGGAAGGAGTCATTTTTAAGTATATGGTTTATGTAGTAAAATTACTCATGATCACCCTTGGATGCTTGCTAGAAGTTTTGTCACCTGTTATGTGCTGAAACTTTCCTCCTTTGGATACATTTGGCGGGGAGGGGGAGCACATATCAATGAATTCTTCAGTCTTCTCTTTTTTCTTTTAATTTACGATTATAAGAAAAGGTTAAGGAGGTATTTAAGCTTTACTAGTCTTTTTTTTTAACTTCAGCTTCAGAGCCAGAAAAGAATGTTGGAAGTCATCAGAGGCATGGTTGGGATAGAGAGTGTTAATTCTTCCATATCTAAGCCTCTTTGTCGAAATTCCCTTTGTCTCTTTCCCCAAGTCATTAAACACTAATCCCATCACTCTTCCTAATCCGCTGCAGTGGAGACAGAGTTCAGTTTCCGAAACTGTCTTTGTTGCTTTCCTAATAGACAGCTTGCTCTGGATTTCAGTTGGTTCAGTCACATTTACTGCTTCCCATTGCAGTTATTTAATGAAGTGCCATTAATGAATCTTTTCCTCCTTCATGCAGTGTGCACGGGCATCAATTGGTTTAGTGTTAAGTAGGGTAAGGTGCCTAGTCATCTTAGCAGCCTTTGCAAAATATGACTGTCAAAGGCAAAACCTAGGAAACAAGGCCATTGAAGACCATAACCACTGAAGTACTCATTTAATTACTAAGGATTTACAAAAGAAAATCTGCCCTTTGTGACTGACAAAAGACAACAAACTAAGAAGAGATAGGGGTTTTTTCCCCCCTCCCCAACAAATCCCAAAGAGGAAACGTGGCTGAGCAAAGCCATCAGAGCATGGTGAAAATGCTTTCCAACTTGCTACACAAGTGCTACTTTTCTAAATATTAGGTATTCTACTTGTTGAAACAGACTTTAAGTCCTGCCAAAAGATGTAGACGAGTTAGTTTAATCAGTTCTTCACTGGTAAAAGTCAGTAAAATGTCAATCCATTTCCCCTGTGCTTGAAACAAAGGATCCATCATAATGTAAAGCAGCATCACTTGGTGGTTATTTTATTTTTTTATATAAATGTGTGTTGTATGCTGTGGTTGACATTTTAAACAGAGTATTTTCTGTCAAAGAGTATAAATTAGAAAAGGTGTGCTTAACTGTCATTTTCTACTGATGACAGGGACACTGAATACCTTTGGTATTTAATTCATTGGGATATGTTTTAAAAAGATAGGCAATGTTTATTTCATCTATATTCCTATAACTGGGAAAATGTTTTGTTCAGAGAGTGTACTTATAATTTTTAAGCATTTTAAATGAAAGCTGTTCTAAGTACATTAAATAAAACCAGGGTATTTAAAGTCTGGAAAACTCTTCTCTAAGGGCCCGATCCAAAGCCCACTGAAGTCTATAAGGTCTTTCCATTGATTTCAGTAGGCTTTGGATTGGGCTCTATACCCCACTTTCTTAGTGGATCACTAAGAAAATATGGAACTAACAAAATATTTTAGTCAGCAAAGTGGCTTTCTGTGATATATATTCATTTTTCTTGTGATGAATTATCTGAGGGCCACAAACACATTACATGAAATAAACCACATCATATTGTACAGTGATTTTCCAAAAGCACTATTTTCTTGTTCATATAGCACATAGAATCATAAAGTTTTAGGCCTGGAAAGATCCTGGAGCAGTCATCTAGTTCAGTCCCCTGCATTCAAGGCAGGACTAAATATTAAATGAATGATATCCTGGCTTCATCAATAAACAGTTTAATTACTGTGGCAAAGTGAGCATCACAATGCCTCAGAATAGGGCATTGAACACTAAGATGCTCCTTTGAAGGCCCTATTTGTTGGATACTGACAGGTCTGTAGTTGATTTGCACAATCCATAGTTTCCACTCTTTTTTCCCAACATGTTCTTTATTGCACATGACAGGTAACAGCTCAGCTTCATCCTTATCAAATATTTCAGTACAGTTTTGTTTCCTTTTATTTTAACTAGCTCATATAGCTGGCTTTAGTGAAAATCTTTCTGCTCCCCAGAGAAAACAAATCAGATCCATTTATAAACTGAATAAATCAGAACAAAGTGACTCATCTCCAAATGAAACCACAGAGTTATCTGTAGATGAAAAAGAAAATCCTGCATTTTGGCACTTCGGCGTTCTTTCAAATTCTAATGCATATCTCCTGTTGGCAATAAAAGTCACACTTGCACATTCTCAAAATTTGTTCGTGTGCTTCAGCACTTCTACTTTTCTTGTAATTGACTTACTAAATCTCTTTTTTTAGGGAATCGATCAGCTTTTATACACAATCTGGAAAAACTCCCTATGTGTATCATTTTAAAAAAACAACCCAACCCAACCCAACCCAGCCCAACAACCCTCACATTGGTTTCGTTTATAGGATACATTGGAACAGCACTAAACCAACAGCATCTCTAGGTGAGTGCCAGCTGTCTTTCAGGAGCTCTGATCCTTTAAACTTAGTACTCTCTGAAGTTTCTCTTTCCATGGTTAATTCAATCACTTTTGTCTATATCTTGGCAGAAATTTTGATGTAATCCTTCTCTTCATTTCTGTTTCCTCGCTAACACTTCTGGGTTTTGGGGGGTTTTTTTCAATCTTTTTTTTTTTCCTTTTTGGCATAAGCTCTCGAAGTCCATGCAGATCAAAAATAACAGAATTTGGAAATGGGTCCACCTAACATCAAGAGTATGGGCATCTTCAGCTACACATCCCTCCTTGTGGTTGAGTGGCTGAATAAGCATTAAAGAGATCTATTGGTGACCAACACAGAAACAAGAAGTACTGGTGTGACTTCCTCTCAACCAGTCATTACACTAAGGGCAATCAGTAGATTTTTTTTCTAGTGATATTTATGGAGCTCAGGCTTGCTGCCAGTCCTCTGCACAGTTCATTTAAAATAGGGAGCACACACGGCTTGGTAGACTGCCATTTTGAGGCTGGATTCCTTTCCCATTGAAGCGAATAGCAACATTCCTGTGGATTTCAATGGGACCAGACCTTGTAAAATGCAGTGAGGCATTTATCTCTGAAAGGGAATGGTTAGATCTCTGTGTCCTACTATTGTTTCACTATATAGCCGTGAGAGAAACATCTGGTGGAGAGGTGTTTCTCCTTATAATACATTAAGGCTCAGTATACACTTCATTTTCTTACTTCAAGAGCTTCATGCACATATATATATAAAACACTGGGAACTTCATTCTTTCCTTGGTCAGTAGATTACATTCAATGAAGAAAGAGACAAAGCCCAGCAAAACCAACTGGCTTTGGAGTAAATAAAAGACAAAACCATTTAAATAATTTTTGAAAAAATTAAATGTCATCTATAAAACATTGAATGATTGTTGTTATGGATGACTATGTGAAAGGCAGTTAAGGTTGTTTTAATGGGCAATGGAATACTTTATATGCATGAACACCTATTTAAGAGAGTGTGTGAACTATGAGGCTGTTTGAATATTTATCTATCTTCCTGTAACTTTTTCATATTTTAAAATGTTCTTAATCTTTAGCCCTTCTTCTTATGCATAGATTTTCTCCTTAATTTTAAGTAACAAGGTTCATAGAACATTTTTGATGGTATTGTTGATTTTAAAATAAATAGCATGTGAGGACCCAATCTTCAACTCTCTGGAGTCAATGGTGTCAGTGAGATCTTCATAACAGCTGCACAGTCCAAATGTTCCCATTGTAAAGGACATGTAGGGGAGCTCAGTTTCAGCAGTAGCTCTGGAGAATTTTGGAAGGTGAGTTGGCAAGGGTGCTCTTTTTTTAGGAGGAAGGAGAATGAAACTGGGACTGGAATAGTGAACGGGTGGTGGTTGGAGGAGCTGTGATAAGAGAGATTATGTGTGTGTTGGGAAATAAAGGACTTCATAGAGCTTTACTCAGCAGCATGCATTGATCTCTGCCTTTCCCACAACTCCAACAGCTGGTTCCCCAGCTTCCTTCTGTTCCTCTGAGCTCCCCATTTAACCTCTGCTTCCCCTAAGCAGTTATCATCCCTGCATCCTTAGGAGGCATTCAAAACAATGCCTTTGGAGAGGAACTTTATAAAATGCACCTTCAGCCTAAAGCCTCACTGGGGATGTTAGACCTGTAGATTTCTTAAGGACTGTGCAGGCTTTTAGACAAGAACATTTATTTATTAGGAAGAGCAGGAATAACACAGGATGAAATTACAGAGCACCGGGTGAAAAGCTGTGAAGGTTACTCAAGCACTAAAGAGACTAGATCACTTGATGTTCTCCACAGGGTCTCTGGTTCTCAGCTGAACTGCAGCTCCTTCTCCCAGGCTTTCTGCTCATGGCATATAGTGTATTCTCTCCCAGGCTTGTGAAACCAAGGTATTTCATTCTTTACTCGGTAGTGGCTAGCAAACCAATGTCATCGATAAGTTTGTCTAATGGTATATCAGTTTCTCCACAGACTCTTCCATTTAGTGAATGGAGGTGGCTGTCATTAAAAAAGCCATCCTGCTCCATAAGCTTCACATGAGGCTTTCCACACTGAAGGCTCACTAGACTATCTCTTTATCAGAAATTCTTCCAAGCAGGCCCAGACTCTGCATAGTGCTTCACAACTGTCTAGTCCCTGGGACACATCTTTGAAGAAAGTGGCCAGGGTTTGGGTAAGTAGCAATAGAACAGGAGAGGGGGCTGGACACTGAGCAGTGTATTCACTCCATTGTTTAAGGTATTCTTAAGAGATGTCTGTAGGCATAGGAGTCTTCTGATGATATGCATTGTTACAGGCATGAAACTGTGATGCCAACTTTCAGAATGTAGAGAATTATGCATAATGCTATTCAATGAAACCCCCTCAGTGCATAAGTCTCTACATCAGGGGTCAGTAATAATTTTCGCAGGGGGGGCACTTAATTAATCTTGCAATGTGATCATTGGCTGCTCCTCTCCCCTCCTCCCCCGAAGGGGTGGGGCTTGGAGTGGAAGGAGCAGGGTTGGGGACTAGCCTCCCCACATTGTTGTCTGGGGCCAAAGGCTTTGAATTAAAATGTCATAGTTTCATAGACTTTAAGGTCAGAAGGGACCATTATGATCATCTAGTCTGACCCCCTGCACAGTGCAGGCCACAGAATCTCACCCAACCCTCTTAGAATAATCCTTTCACCTATGTCTCAGATATTGAAGCCTTCAAATACTTTGAAGGCCCCAAGATGCAGAGAATTCTCCAGCTGTGATCTGTGCCCCATGCTACAAAGGAAGGAGTTGCTGCAGCTATTTGAAAGACTTGCAGCTCTAGCTGCTGCCAGGGTAGCGCCACAACCAGGAGCCATTTAAATAGGATCCTGCAGCCGGAGCCCCCACCTGGAAATTAGGTGGCATAGGCAGCAGGATATAAATAGAAAGTGGACAGATGCAGTCAGGGACTGGATCAAAGTGTTAGGTGGGCAGGATACAGCCCCCGGGCCGCCTCTTGTCCAGCCCTGCTCTACATTATGCTTCTGGGGATCTGGTTCACCTTGGAGGGCATCAGAACTGGGGCTCACAGGTTTTGTTTTGTGTAGGAAGGGAGGAATGGCAGGATGGAGTAAGAGAGCAATGGGGACTTTTCAAAGCATGCTTCTTCTGTGTTGTGGTTCAAGAAGTTAGTATGCCTAAAAAAATGGTTCCCTGCTCAACCCCACTGTGTGCAATGTAAAGTCCTTCCTGATCAGACCCATTGGCATACAGTTTTCACTGCTCGAATCCCCAGGGGCATGTAGTTTTTTTTCCTGGAAGAATACCTGGGTTCAATGCAGATGTAACTGGGTAAAAATCTTTGGGCCTTTGTTATATGGGAGGTCAGACTCAGTGATCTAATGGCCCCTTTTGCCCTGACAAATCTATGAATAATCCACAGAAATGGCACCAGTCTTAAAATGAACCCTGAAAAAAGTGCATTGGCCTAATATTGTCTGTGTGAAAAAGGGTCATACAAAGATTTCTGTTTCAACAGAGCTAATGTGTCGAGCTTCCTCTGCTCCGAGGGCTCGCCAGTGCCTCGTTAGATGACAGCACTTGCCTGTTGTTGTTATATTTTCTCTTTGCTTGCACTGTGGGCTGAAAAGGACAAAACCAACCCCATGCTAGCTACGGGGTGAATCAGGTTCTACTTCCCCTTCCCTTATCCTATCACAAGTGTCTACTAAAGCCACTTTGTCTTTCCCTGCTAATAGAGATATTTGGTTTGGACACAGCCTGGATCTGGCCACAGTAGCCACAGCAGTGGACAGCACTGGCCTGGCCCTTTGCAACTCCTGAGATCTGAGTGAAAAATCCTGGTCACTGAACAGGGAGGCGCTGAGAGCAGGCTGACCTTGCTGAATGGAAAGAGAGAGAGAGCACATCTAAGCGAGCATGCTAAACGGGTCCTGGCACCTGGAGAACCTGGGGGGGGGGAGGTGATGAGGCCTGTGTCAGTCCACATGGTCTCTCGTCACCCATCTCACAAGGAACAAATACATGAATGGTGTTGTGCTAATTTCTCTGTTCAGGCATTGGTTCATTTGCCTCTTTGGGAGGCAGGACCTCTCTTCAGGGATCATGGTGGAGAAAGGTTCTGTCTCCAGTGGGAAGGAGGGAATGGATAACTGCCCAGACAGATCACACACGATGAGTACTTAGGCTCTGGGCCTGAGCTATGGTTGATGATCAAGGATGGGGTTAGAGGCCAAGGACGAGATTTTCAAAGGTACAAGGGACAGTTAGGCATCCTAATTACCCTTTGTGCCCTTGAAAAATCTTCCCTCAGTTAATAGACTTGAGGGTCCAAACAGGTTTAGATGGCAGGATTACCTGCTGTGTGCTGTTAGGTTTCAGCATACATACTGTCACAGATTCAGTCCATATGATAAATTGGTGCAACTCTCATTGAAGTCCTTGGGACCCATGTCTGTTTGCATAGAGCTGAATGTTAAGTACATGCATAAAGGCCAAGTTTGTTACATTTACAGCTGTCCAATTTTTAACTGAAGCATGTTTTGTCTCTTTTGTAGCATCTATGGTTCTGGCTGAACAAAGCTTTAAAATCTCTTTGCAAGTATATTTTCAAAGTTATAATTGGATGTAACTGAGCCGTCTTTTCTAAGCAGAGATCTATAGCTGAACTAGCACATAGGTTAAAATTCTTCACTTCTCCAAAAAATAAATAATCCCACAGGATATATTACAGGCACAAAGACAACAAAACAATGGCTGCATATAATCTCCACTAACTACATTAATAAATAGATTATATATCATGAGCTTTCATGGGTAAAACCCACTCATCTAATGAAGAGAGCTTTGCCCACGAAAGCTCAGGATATGTTTGTTCGTTTATAAGGTGCCACAGGACTGCTCGTTTTGTATTTGTTTGGTTTTTAAGTTACAGACTAACACGGCTAGCCCTCTGAGCCTTTTTACATTAATAAAGTATTTGCATTTCACATATTTCTCAGAATTTTGTGAATGTGACAAATATGTCACATGT